GTTGTTGATCATGTTTATTTCTCTATATATTAAAAGTGGTGAATTCACTTTCAGTAAAAATGTTGCGAACCAGTTTGCGTGATTTTAAAAATTAGTCAATTTTTGTTTTTAGCAGGAGCATTAACAAATAGTCACTTTGGATCTGTTTATGTTATATTCATCTGAGGTACTCACATCCGAGTCATGACGTCAGTATTTTTAGATAACATTGTAATTATAAACTCAAATCGATGCTAAATTAGAACAAATTAAACACCAAACTGTGAATTTAAACTAAATGAACACAAATGTGAACAAATAAAATTAAACACAAAAAAGGATCCATGCCTTGCAATCAGAATAGGCAAAAAATATTATCATTGCAACTAGGATGTGCCATAACAAACAATTCTTTAGAAGTCTTACTTGGAAAATGCAAGTGGAAACCAAGAAGGCATAAACGAAGATGAAGGTGTTTAGTCTGTATTGTAACTCAAAATCCTTGTTGTATCTGGAATATGTAGTCCCTTTTTATTATCACTGTATTTTTAAAAATTATTTTGGAGTTAAACACTAGGACTGATAACATAAAATTTATTTAACTGCTCTAGTTAATTATTATCAGATCGATTAAAGGCGCACTTACATAAAATATATTAAAAAATTGAATACATATTTAATATATTTATTAAGACATACAGTTGTCATTGTTAACTAAATACGAAACATGATGTGAAATCTGTTAAATGCCATATAGAACTAAGTAAAGAGAAGTACTTTCTGGAAGTACAAGTACAAAACCAGGATAATAAATACTGATTAATGAATACCTATAGTTGTTTAGTATAGCACTTTCCAGTGATTTTGAATTGATATATAATCTTCCTACATACATATAGTACCTACGATTAAAATAAGTCGGTAAGTCATATCAAATACTATTAGATGTTCTTATAGATCAGTGTAGCTAATTAAGACAAATATATAAATAAGCTAAGTTTACAATGCCCTTTATTTAACATTTAATTTCTCAAATAATTTTTATGTTAAAATTTAATATTTAAAACTAAAAAAATATATCCATCAATTGACTGTATATTTATCATTCGTTCGTCTACAGTCATGTCGAAAAAATGCTTGGGTAGTGTAACTAACGTAAATAACAAACAATTCCTTGAAAGACCATAAAATTATGAGAACGGAATTCAACACTAATGTAAACACAGACATACCGTAGTATCATACGACTCAGTTCGAAAACAGACGGACGATTCGTCGTAAATATGGATCATTTGTTTATGTTATCATGTTTAGACTTAGAAACAGTTGTTCTATTTAAATGATCGCGTGATAAAGTGAAGCAAAAAGCGTTGCTGAGATCAGCGCCTTATGTAGACGTGACAAATTTCGCGTTCTAGAATTTTCTCATCAAAAATATTCACAAATACGAATTTTACTTCAATTATTGTCTCTAGAATAATCTAGAATAAAAACATTTTTACAGATAGTTTTACACAGCTTATTAGAAAATAAAAAAATTATAAAAAAATATATATAGAAAAATCTATAGAAATATATACATATATAAGAAAATAACGTCAATCCTGAAACAAAACGATATTAAAATAATGTAAAATCGCTGATGACCGTACTAACTCTATAATAACAAAATTTTTCATTATATATAATTTAATATATATATATTAATTTTTAAAAAATTTCTGTTAACGATTCTACGGGTATTATAATTTTTTGAATGTGATATTTTCGATTAAGACAAGTCCTGTATAACCTTATTTAAAAATCAAAATATGCTTAGATGAAAATCCATCTTAAGGGCTATATAAAAAGGATATTGAAAGCAACAGAACTAATTATTTTTGTTTAGCTTTGTATTTTTGGTTGATATACAAATTAAAACTTCTTTAAATCTCTAATTTAAATGAGATATATAGCAGATACAATATATAGACAGTGACAATCCTTCATGCAAGACACGACTAACCTGGGTAGTAACAAATGAACCCCCTACAATATTTTAGCACTAAGGTTTGTTGGCTGCGCTGGGCTGACGAACCTCAATGTCAGATTTCTAGGTTGACTTGGCCGAACTTAGACAAGAAAAGAACTAGTCAGCTACTTCAACTAAGACGGAACCTGCTCAGCACTACGGTATCTGTGCTGACGGGAGACTGCGTAATAGCAAGGCATGCTATGAGACTGGGTCTCCCCTTTAATGACTTTTGTCGAGGTTGTGGTTCTGAGGATGAGGAGGAGACTGTACTCCATCTCATGTGTCAGTGCCCTTACCTAGCCAGAAGAAGATTAAAAACCCTTGGATCTCCTTTTCTAACTGACCTGACTGAGTTGTCATCCTGTAATGTTAGGGGCCTAGCCAAGTTCATAGAACTGTCAGGTTGGTTTTCCTTTACCTAATATGGGAGTCGTTACCTTTCTTCGACGTTGAATGTATACTGATTACAATCTATATACAAATCAACGTAACTCCTGTGGTAGCACAATGGGCCATTGTTTGTGCTTAAGTGGGCTTTTTGGGATACAAGGCCGCCACTCCAACCCAACCCAACCCAAAGTATTTTGGCTATTTTCGGAAATTATGGGCAAAGATACTCAACTTTGAATTGAAAAAGTTTTGTCGTTTTTTCTTCACTAGTAATAAGTCAGACAAAAACTAGAAGAATGGAGACTTCTAGGTAGATATATGTATTTTGGTGAATAACGGGCAGTAGCACAGTAAATTAATACCGTTTTCCTTCACCTTTTTTAATTCTCAACGCCGACAGTAGTCATGAATGGAATTCCAAAGTCGAAGATACAATAAATTCGATGTCAGTAGTTCGGGTTAGATTTAAAAGTGATTTGACTCTAAAACAATCGCTAGAAATAATTATGTCGATAAAGAGGTGTCACGTGATTATTAGAAAATAATATACGGTTAAGTTAATGGTCGTAATTTTGAATATTTTTTAACTCTTTAAATATATGTTTATATTTAGGTACCACACTTAGATGACATACTTGAACCAAATTTAACTGCAGTGATATGATATAATCCCAGTACCACCTTTAGAATATTATTCGTCGTTGAATCATACTTCCAATACATCAAGCCACATTAGTTTTGATAGTAAAACGCTAGCAATATATGACTATAAACTAAAGATGTTATTCTTTTTTTGCTTGCTATTTACTGTACAGGCAAGAGAAAGTGTTTGATGAACTCCTTTCTTCTTGTTACCCTAGTTTCTGTAATACGCATTACATGCAATACCCATTTTTGTTGCGTCTTAACCCATTTATGTCATCTAGATATCCTCGCATAGAGAAAAGTCTACGCGATTTTGTTAATGTCTAATTTTGACTACAGGCAACAAAATTTGATATACCCATTTATACCCATTTTTGTTGCGTCTTAACCCATTTATGTCATCTAGATATCCTCGCATAGAAAAATGTGCGAGGATATGTCTAATTTTGATCAAGTGAGCAAAAACTATATCTAAATTAATAATTTACTAATTGCCAGTGTAATGCAACTACACAAATAACATATATACTTATATAAATAATATATATACTTATATATGTTATTCAGTCTGCGTACTTAAACATTGTTAAATAAAACATAAAAAATACGTTTATCAATTAAAATTTAATTTGTCATCCTCAAAGTAGCCACCATTAAGCGCAATACATCTTTGTCTCCATATGGCACAATCTTTCACACATTTTTCGTGAGCTGATTGAGGTCTGATCTTTAATTTCTTCAACGTATTTTCATATCGACTCGAAACGTTCATGTGAAAATAGTAATTTTTGATTTAGGAACAAAAAAAGTCAAATGGAGTCAACCAGGACAGAACGGTGTTAACATTTGTTAAGTTATTTTTGAAAACTTTTGACTATAGATAAATTTGTGCCATCGCAAAACACTTAAACATTTAATTATAAAAAAAAACAGCTTGCGGAAATACACTGGGTAATGAGAAGTTCTAAAGTCTTGGATGGTACCATTATATAATACTACCAACTAAGCGAAGAGAAAACTGTGGGGTACCTTCGGTCCATGCATATCAAGTTATAATAGAATGTTTGCATCTGGTTTACATAACAACTGGATTTTATTTTTTTCTTATTAAATTTTATTTAATCTAAGTTTCTCTTAATCTGATTAAGAGGAATTTATTTAATTTTAATTTATAGTCTGTTTTTACTAAATCGAAATCATTCGATATGACCATAGTGTAATTTACAAATTGCGAGGTCTGTGATAAGTTTCGCATATCGAAGAGAACTCAGTTTCCAATAATCCGTGGCAGCAATTATTTTTGAAGGTGATTATACGTATCTATAGGTATTCCTATTGAAAAGCTGTACTTTATAATGTAAACACAGATATACCGCATATAATCAATGACTCATTAATCAATTCATTAATCTTTTAATAAATTCATTTTTCGGTTAATGCGCAAACTATCTTCAAAGTTCATCGAAATATTTTTCAAGCAAGATTTGAACAGTAAAAAAAATGTTGTTTGTATAAACAAAGTTAAGTAAAAATTCGTTACCGAACATAGATTCAATGCAATTTCAGCATATTTCGGCTATAAATTAAGCTCAGAAAATCAGACGTATCTGCAGATGTCAGGAAAGTGTTACTGGGAACCAGATTGCATCACAGACCAACTGACTTACAATGAAGCCAACACTTTAAAAGAAAACAAACTTGAACTTGAAACTTGTCCAGATTGAATTCCGTCGAATTTGATAGCAAGTTTTGTGTTCATGAAAGCCAACATCAGGTTTGACATCAAAAGCGTAAAGTGGCAACAACCACAAGAAGCGCAGAGTCAATGGTTAAACCAAACCAAAAAGATGCAACTGGAGAAGCGTGTTGTATTCAAACCTGTTCCAAGCAGTTAAGAGTGTAATGACATTTCTTTCTTAGAAGAACTGGGATTATTTTAAGAGCATATGAAAAAATTTATTCTGAATTCTGTAACAGTCCAGAATAAAGATTTAACAAGAACGGACGATTTGATAAGTTCAGCTTAAAAAAAATAAAAATGAAGTTTCAGGTAAAGAAATGAATAGTTCAATTTTATTTTTTTTGTGAATTAAATAATTTTATATAACAGGTCTTATTAATACTACTAAGTGGTGTTTTATGTACACAGTCAGCAGTTGTACCATTACAAGACTTGGCTACTGACTACCAAACCACGGAGACTTTTGCAACACATGATAAATCACAGGCAACCGAGTCACATGAAAGTCAAGCCGCATTTGAGATCGTAGCACCATTGACTCAATTGGCGCATATAACTTACGATTCCATACCGGTGGCTCATACGCCATATGAGCATGTACCACTATTTCAACGTGTCAGTCATGTAGAGGCAAGAAAGCATAGCGGCAAAAAATATAATAAAATTGTCAAAAACTGATTGATAAAATGCGACAAATAAAGAAAACAAATTGATTTTAATGCAAATTTTGTACTATTTTTATTTGTTCCACTTTTCAACTTAAGGTTGACAGCAAATACAATAATCCTTTGGTTGCGGTATTCCATTTACCAGCATAGTCAACATAGCGCTTACTACATACTAAACTTAACTAATAGGACGATTAGGTATTGAGTCTTTTCTGTTGGCTTAGATGAAGTAAGAAGCAGGTGCACCGAAAGCAGCATATTTAGCGGGCGCTGCAAGAGCTAGTGGTGAAGGAGCGAATCCAACTTTAACTGGTGCAGGAGCAGCAAAAGCAACTGGTGCTGGTAATGGAGCAGCAAAAGGAGCACCTAATGGAGCAGCTAAAGGAGCACCTAATGGAGCAGCCAGTGGAGCACCTAATGGAGCAGCCAGAGGGGCACCTAACGGAGTGGCCAATGGAGCAGCTAATGGACCAGCGAATGGGGCAGCTAACGGTGCTGGAAGTGCTGCGGCAAAAGGCGCTGCAAATGGAGCAGCTAAACCAATATTAGCTGGTGCCGCGAAACTGACTGGTGCAGGTAGTGGAGCAGCAAATGCAAATTTTCCTGGTGCAGCTAAAGCAACTGGAGCTGGCACGGCAAGTGGTGATGGTACTGCAAGTGGAGCTGGTAAAGGTGCTGCAAAAGCTACCTTTGCTGGTGCGGCTAAAGCAACTGGCGCCGGAAGTGGTGCTGCAAAAGCTACTTTTGCAGGTGCAGCAAAAGCAACCGGAGCTACTGGTGCTGGTACTGCTACTGGTGCTGGTACTGCTACTGGTGCTGGTGCTACTGGAAAAGCAACAGCGTGGTTGATATGATGTGCATTATATGATGAAGCATAAGGTGCAACCACACCAGCAGTTGCGTGCAATAAGCCAGCTTGAGCAGTTGCTACCAAAGCACAAGCAAGAATCTATGATGAGATATAGAGAGAAAATTAAAAATATATTATATAGTAAACTATATTATAAAGATTATCGTTTATATCTACATACCAAGTATTTGGCCACCATTTTACTAAAAGTTTTTTTTTGAATTTGGAAAAGGGATTAGGCTGGGTTGTGAATGCCCTAAGCGTTAAAATGATTGTGCTAATAATGTGAATATAATGCAAAGCTTTTATAGTTGCCAAAAAAATCAAAGACCAATTCAAAATATTTAATATTCGAATATCAAAGAGCTATCACTGAGTAACTTGGAGCTCCCAGAGTTTGCTGCTTAGAATTCATAAGTGAGAAGTAATGTTATGTTGTTGTTATAACCGATATCGAAAAGCAATTACTCAAAGTATGTATTGTACTGAATACCACATATGAGGGCGAAATTTTGTCTCCACCATATAGAAAGTCAATAAGCCCTTGCCCAATAAACAAGTATTGTATATCATTTAATGTTGTTTTGTTTTTGTAATACAAAAGACTCTTTTGTGTTCATTGTAGCATGAAATTTCGAAGACTCACTAAACAATTCAACTTAATTACAAAGCCAATCGATTATTTGTTGCATATAAACGCAAAACCAATGATTTGCATAAGTACAAAAATTTATCGAAGCCTTGTCCACGGTATGTCATAATTTTCGGTTATCTTTTAGTGTCCAAAAAGACTAACTTCAATACTGCGATTTTTTAATTCGATGTCTTAAGTCTGTCGATTGAATTCCAAGTTGTGTTGCAGTAAATGTTGCGTTGTATGCGACGCACTTTAAACGTGCTTTGCATCGGTAATGCCTTTTTCAAATGTTGCGTGAAGAAAATTGTACTTTTTTTACTTCTCCTTCATTTTAATAAATTTTTTTACCTCACCGATATTTGCAGTCCAGTCCAGTATGCGCGTTTGGTTGTGCAAATTTCTTTTTAAGTCCATCAGCGAGGTATTCGCCTACCATTGACAAGTTGTGTGAGCTACCAGACGCGTGGGGAAGAAGTGTGTAGAATGTCGCTTAATTAATTTATATCATTATAAATTTCCATTGGGCCTTAAATGCGACTAACTGGCACTTTGACGTAATTATTATGTCAACTATTAAAACGATATAAATAAATTATTTTTAATTTATTTTGCAATAGAAATTAATCAGCTGTTGATATTTACTCGTTATTGAAAATATTTCATTTTGTCGTGAATTTATTAAAATAATTTAAAAATTAATTACAGGTATCATATAAAGATTGATTTAAATATAATTTGATGTGCATGCCATGTAACGGTCGTTTTAAGTCAATCGGACCTCACATTGGATCTCTCGATACAACTATGTGTATTATCAAGGAAACGTTTAAAAATATATTAAAAATTTATTTAAATTTATTTTCAATTAAAACTACATTTTAAATTACGTAGATCTCACATAATACCCTTTTGAGATAACTCTTTCTATTGGCAAAGAAAAGTTTAAAAATATGTTAAAATTAATTCTCATTACTTTATTTTAATTTAAAACTAAATAGATTATAAAAAATATTTTTATGATTAAATCTTGAATTACATTGCGACTTTATATAATAAATGTTGCGACTAGTTACATTAGATAAAATTGCGAATACTTAAGTCATACAATGATCTCACGATCACTTTTATAACCACAATATTAATGACAGGAGCAACACATGTTTAGATCTGGTCTTGAAGCTATCAATTTATCAAGAGCAGTTTCGATCAGTGGTTATATTTAATATGTAGACTCCAGTTACTCCTAAGTTATATGGTATTTAAAATTTTAAACGTTCTGGGATATTTGAATATTGTCCAACAAAAAAAACAGTAGTATTAGAATTAATGTTTTTATTTTAAATATTTATTTTAAAGATGTTTCGAGAAGTAGTGATTAATCAGGTGGATGATTGATAAGAATGGCTGTTGGTACATTATCACGCAGCAAAACTTTCTGTCTGGGCTACTGCCAGAGTTAAAGAACTCACAGATAACATTCTGTATCATGATGGATTCATATTGAACAGTGATACGAAGAAAACGCTCAGTACTTTGCTATTCTATTTTTTTTTATATGGATATTATATAGCATAAAATTTCTATCACACAGCAAAACTTTCTGTCTGGGCTACTGCCAGAGTTAAAGAACTTACAGATGATATTCTGTATCATGATGGATTCATATTAAACAGTGATACGAAGAAAACGCTCAGTACTTTGTTATTCTATTTTTATTTATATGGATTTTATATTTATTTTTTTTATATTTTTTATTATATTTATTTATATATGGATTTTTTAGCATAAAATTTCTAGTTAATTATATAGCATGAAACTTCTAGTTTCCTTCTAGTTATATTCTGACGTTTTGTATTAGTCTTGCTATGATAACACAACGTTTAGTCACTAGTTGCAATAGTTGATGTTTGATGTCGACACGAAACATGCAAAGACAGACGTTTTATTTTCCTAAATCCTTGGTCAATAGGGTTTACCTATCCTTGATACCTTATTTTATTTTTCAATAGATCTCATAGATACATTGTAGCCGCATCCGAGAATTATTTGGCTTTCGTGGTGCTTTATTCGTTGGAAGTGATTGGCGGTGCTCAGTTAACGCGTTCAAATCATGCAAAGACAGACGTTTTATTTTCCTAAATCCTTGATCGATAGGGTGTACCTATCCTCGATACCTTATTTTATTTTTCAATAGACCTCACAAATACATTATAGCCGCATCCGAGAATTTAAACACCAAACCCTGTGTTCAAATTCGTTCATTCTATTTTTCATATATATTTTTTTACACTGCTTACTTTCTTATACTACTTTTACTAAATTTGAAATAGAACTAGTCATTGGGTCTTTGCTCCATAATCTGTATTTTGATTGGAATAATTGCTCCATCGTTTTTTAATACAAGTTTTGTGTTTTTATATAGCTCTGTCTGTATAAGGACGTACGTATGCTCTATACTCTAACAGTAAAGCTTTCGAAAAAATATTTAACATAATATTAATTTAGATAATACAAATAGAGTTATAGGGAAGAAATTGAAGTGATTAGATGAAGATTACCTTTTATGTGGTTGTGTAAAATAAAACAGTTATATATTCTTTTTTTTTTATCAAATTATAATAAATATTATTTATTTCGTCTAACAATTGTGTGACTAACATACTATTTCCAAAACACATAATTACTATTGTTCAATCAAAACCCTCTTTTAAGAAATTAATCATCGTCATCGCAGCTTCTCGTTGGAACATTTGCTGCATATTGTCCTGGAATGTTTCCCGTCGGACTGTAGTTACAAACAACCCATATCTGTTCTTTCCTAAAATGTATTAGTAATTTATTTTAAATAAGACTTTTATATTTTTAGATAATTAATAGCAAGAAAAAATATATTTGAAAACTATTATAATTAAATATTTAAAACACATCGTTGTCTAAGATTTCTTATTAAACACCTAGTGATGACATAGATGATAGGCTTTTTTACTTAATTGTGTAGTAGTATAAGTATTGTAGATGTATGATAGTATATAAGTATTGTAGTCATAAGATAGAATTAAGCATACACATGTAAACTAAGGTAGAATTAAGAGAAAGAATAATAAAAGAGACAGTTGCGTGACGACCGTCGAACAAAGCAGATGTTGGTTGTTTCTACTAAAATTGTAATGTGGCATTAAGTAGTTATAGTTAATTAAGAAATTGATTCTTATATATTTTTATGTAGTTTTAAAAATTCTTAATACCTTACATACTTCTTATATATAATAATAATTTGTTGTTAAATCTTCTGTCTAGCTACTTAATCCAACCTCAGTAACTTTTGCGATATGTCAAAAATTATGATAATTTAGCTTATGGACTTAGTATATACATGACACAATTATTTATACATATATTAATCTTAATCTTAATCTAAAATAAATGATATATGAACCCTTACTTTTTTGCAATACCTATTCCGAGTAAACAGCTATTTTTCCATAAGACTTGTGTGAAACCTTGAGTACCGCATTGAAATTTTTGAATGCCGTAGTCATAATTAACGATTTCATTGTACCAAAATCTGACGGGTTCCGTTCCCGGTACATTTTTGTATCTGGTATAGTAAATATTTTCACCATGCAGCTTGGGAATTCGATATTGCAGATTATCGCCTTTTGATAAGCTCTGTTAGATTAAATAAATAAATAATTTTTAACTAATATTTATAAGTTTTATATGATTTACCTTAGCCCAGTTTCGAGCATACTTAGACAGTTTGGCATCCAGTTTTAATGGTGGACAATCATGCATTTCTCGTAATCTATTGTGCTCTTCTAAACACTCCTTTTTAAATTTTTTCTGTTTTCCACAACATGCTCCGCACATATCTATCACTTGAATTTAGTTTTAGCAGCCATCTTAATTTTTTTGGAAAAATTTTTTAAATTAAAAATATTGATTTCTAAATCAAAGATATATAATCATAAAATTTCTTTCTTTCTGAAAACTATTTTAAGAACAAACTATTTCGAATACTTAAATCTTTTTTTTTATCTTCTTCATCGTGCCGTAACTGTGTTCCAGGAAAAGTCTATTAAGCTTATACAATGGTTTTAAAACGATATAAATTGAATTTTTGGGGGAATAGTTTTGAACACCCACTGCTATGTGGAATGGTGCTTCACCGTGGTACAAATATTAGAAATGGCTGCCGATAAATTCTGTGTTTATATGAACATAACTTCACATTAACCGCATATCGGTTAAATTCAGAACACCACCACTATAATCAAAGAAAGGTGTTAACAGCGGAGATTAATTTTTGAAAAGCTTTTGTGTGATTAATTGATTGGTGGGTTGTTTTCGGATCATAAGGATGTATTCAAGTCTCATATACACTTATCAAGTGTTACGTTTTATCTTGACAATTACGGATTGCACGGATTAACATATTTCAACACAACGCTGTTCTTGCAAGAAATGATCTTCTTTTGACACCAAAAGGGAACATAAATCTTGAAACAGATTTAAAATAAATGTTAACATTTTCAGAGAGATTTATCGACAATTTTTAAGCACCAAATCTTTAATTTTCTTCCAGTATTATTCATCACCGCAACACAGTGTAGATTATTCATTATAATCTATTCATTCATTATATTATTTATTATAATGAGATTTTAATCTTTTCAATCTCGATTCAACTTTAAAATTGATATATACTAATCCAAATTACATGCTTGCATTATCAACGAGGTTTCTAATTTTCTATCGATGATTTTTTATCTCCAAATTTTCCTGAACGTGCTTCTCTGTTTGTCTAATGGTCTCTTCACTTCTTAACTTGTTCAAATTTTTTACTATACATATTTTGGTTTTGGGTAGAATTTTTATAATCGAACTTAACAGCAGTAATTTTAAATAACTCTATGTTAACAAGGATTTAAAATTTCTATTAGAATTTTCATTTTTCTATTTTAGAATTTTAAATAATAAATCTTTATAAATATACATGTTTTATAGGCTTTTCCTTAGAGGGAACACCTACAATATAAATAAATAGACAAAAAACTAATTACTCTTTTATTATTTTCGTATATTCAATGATTAGATCGATAAATACATTATTTACATATATAATAATGATTTTAATTATAAATAAATAATAATATATAAAAATGCTTAAGATTATAAAACTTTGGTCATTTGCATCGTAATAATTTCTTCTTCTTCTTCTTAATACTATTAAAAATAATATATGACTTTTCTTAGAAGAGCGAATGATGGTGATGTTTTGCTATTAAGTGTGCATGCGGTGCTACGATTTTAGCGATAGCGGGTTGAGGGAATGCATAACCCACAGAAACGTGATGAGTTGTTTTTTTAGGACCAAATGTGGCACGATAACTGGGAACTGCAAATGGTATAGCTTCATAAACTGGAGGTAATACTTTCGCTATAGGTAAAGGAGCTGGAAGAACAGGTGTTGCAGCTGGCAAAACATGCGAATGAACAACTGGAGCTTCCACTGGCCAGAGTGGCTCAGGTGCAGGCAAAAGTGTTGCAGCTGTATGTATGACTGGGGCAGGAGCTGGTACTAAAGGTGCATGGAAGATAGGAGCTGGAGCTGTTACCAAAGGTGCTTGAAATACTGGAGCTGCGGCAGGGAAAAGTGGAGCATGTGCATGTAATAATGGAGCTGGTAGTAATGGTGTTGGTGCTGGTAGTAAGGGAGCTGGTGCAGGTAGTAAAGGTGCTGGTGCTGGCAGCAAAGGTGCTGGTGCAGGTAGTAAAGGAGCTGGTGCCGGTAGTAAAGGTGCTGGTACTGGGAAAAATGATGCTGGTTCTGCTGTGTGGAAATGTGCTGGTGGTAGAACAGGTGGTGCGAAATCGAAGTGATCCGGTATTGCATGCGAATCATATGAATATGGATGTGATGGTTTTGCTTGTACACTAAAAGCAGTTAGTGCCAACAATGTAAAAATCTAATTAAACAAAAAATCTTAATTTTAGTTCTTGAAATCTTCTTAGTTCACAGTATCTGTACTCACCAACTTTAACCGCAACATTTTATATTATTTTTTGTTGATTAAGTTCCCGCTAATCCAAAGACCTTCTTGTCAATGCAAGTATAGTTTTGCTAATGAATTATTAATTTTTTCCGTATGTATTTATATTGGTGCTTAGTTCCGTTCGTCTGCAATTGCTATCGGTATTAATTTCACTTTCATTTACACCTAATTTTTTAAACTTTTTACCCATTGACCAATATTATTAAGTTTAACAACTTGCTAACACTGTAAACGGAACTGTGTTTATGTGTCTGCGGAAAATCGTGACTCTTGAGCAATGTTAACATAAAATTGGGGTTACATTAATGTTGCACGTACCTTTTACAGTCGAAACCCTTTTTAGGAGTGTCATTAAAATAGTAGTTGAGATTTGGACAATGCATTTTTGTTATTTAAACTTTTTGATTTGTCTATACTTACATAATTTCTTCTTTAGGAAATGCTTATATAATAACAAAATTTTATTGGATAATCATTTTTTCCTGTTTTGGTAGGCAATTATGTATAGGATTTATATTCAGGGTCAGTTATTAAATTATCATCTGAAAATGTTCGTTGTTACTTATATGTTATTGGTTCATTGAGCTGATAATCATCGCATACATTACAAAACATAATAATACAATAAGACATATTTTCGTTATTATTATTATAGTCCCTTAAGTAGTACTAATACTCATCTTCCAGTTTAAGTGCTGTCATAAGTTCTCTTGCCTTAATTAGTCTTTAGTCTTTACAACACACACTCCTTAAATATATACTACATAAAGTGAGATTGCACCTTTAAGTTATTTATTATATCAAAGAAACAGTTGTTAGCATTTATTGAAACTATTGATAGCTAGTTTCTATTTAATGCATTTAACCATTTCCCAGTGAACGGACTTTTATCAAAATATTGAAGAAATTGGTAAGCACCAGAACACTGAGCGAACTGAAAAGCAAATCTCTTAACTTCACTCACGCTAACAGTCACTGCTCAGCTTCAAATCATGAACGGATTTGCAACAGAACACTTAACGAATTAGAAAGCTAATCTCTTAGCTTTAGTTACATATACAGTCAATGCCCAGTTTTGAATAAAAATTATTGATTTTTTAAAAGTTTGTTTGATTCAATAGAATTTTTATAATAATTATTTTGACAATTTACACTTGATTAATATTTAGTAAGTTTAACTTCTTCAAAAGGCATCCTATATTCATATTGATGTGTTCTATGAGATTTTGAAATCATTGACCTATAATTTTTCAAAGATACTGTCGTTTAGAATGTTATGGTCAATGGAAAGTCCTGCATCATCTGCCTAAAAATAAGATTTCTGGTTGCAATAGGCAAGATTAAAAAGCACTTGATATTGACATATATTCCAACATATATAATATATATTCATCTAGTCAACCATGTGTTGGCTTAACCATATTAAAACATGTGCGTTAACTATTATTTCAAGACAAATAAATAAAGACTATTATTTAATTCCAAAACAAATCCAAAACAGTAGAATATAGTATGTGCTATATAGTACATAAGAATATCTGTTTAACTTAAAGGCATTTTAAGCACTAAGATTCAAGATAAAACTTCAAGAACGTCAAGTTCAAGAATTGAGAAAACTGGAAACGGTACAAAGAAAATTTGTTTGAATGAGAAATTTAAGTCCCAAAAATAAACAATACTGTCAAGCTCAAGAAATACCATTTACATTGGAATCGTAACAATATTCCTTAAATTCGTCGCAATGAATCTCAAAGGAAAGTTTGAAGAGGTATTTACAATAAAACTAGAGTTAAGTTAAGTTTGTAAAATAAAAATCAGAAATCTCTATTAAAAAAATCTCAATTAATTATTAAATTAGTAATTTTATTAAATAATATTTTAATTTATAGATACTATCGCAAAAATCACAAGGTCTATAATAATCGACTTAAATAACAGCAGCTGGAGCAGCAGCAGCAAGTGGTGCAGCCAAAGGTGCAGCTGCAGCAAATGGTGAGGCATATGAAGCAGCAAAAGGCGATGCAAATGGTGATGCGAAAGGTGATGCATATGGAGCTGCAAATGATGCAGCTAGTGGTGCTGAGAGTGCAGCTGGTGCAGCATACTTAGCAAAAGCTGGTGCAGCATAAGCAGCTGGAGCAGCGGCGAATGGAGCTGTGTAAGCGGCAGGGGCAGCAGCTAAAGGCGCTGTGTAAGCAGCAGGAGCTACTGCAGGTAAGCCGGATACATAACGACTAGAATATGGAGCGGTGTAACTGAATGGTGCAGTGGTGTATGATGACAAGGTACCATCATAGTTGTTGCGTACATCGATTTGATTACTACCGCCAGCCGCATACAAAGGTGCATTTGCATAGGCTAGCGGTGCTGATGGCAATAGACCAGGTGCTCCAGAAGCACAAGCGAAGAGAGCAGCAAGAGCAATAATTGTCTAAAGAAAGATTATTTGTTTATTTAATTTTTGATATTTTTAGTCTTAAATTCTTGTACTTACGAATTTATACATTTTAGTTAAAAAAAAAAGTGCTTTAGTTTTGTGAGAAGTTGAAAAGTGGAGTTGTGAATGCTTTATGTTTTGATTATGCCTTGATGAAACCTTTTATAGTTAAAATTGTAAAACTATTTTTGTAATATAACTAAAGCTTGATTAAAGTAAAAATACATAGGTATATAATACAAATTGGCAAAAAGCCAATTTCGATTTTTATTGTTTCCAAATATGCCTAAACGTGAGGTGCAAATTTAATAAATAATTTTATTTAAAAACAATTTGCTTTTTCAAATTAAAACAAATTTTTTTTTTTTGTAAATTAATATAAATTTTTTTTCCTGCATTGGCAACATTGGCTGTTAACGGAAGTTAAGTACTGCAAATTAAATTGAAGCAAAAAAGTTAATTTGTATGCGAAATTCGTTATTTGCTTTGTGCTCTTAATTTAGTTCAAATCGTTTAGCCACTTTGTTTCGCTTTTTTCCACTTGTTTTGTTTTTGTTTTGCGATATTTGTTTAATTAATTTTGGCATTAATTATATAGTTTATTGTTTTTTTGACCATTTAATACCGTTTGGCAGATAAACGAGCTCAATGGACACGTGGTAAATACGTTCGTGGGGCATTAAAATTTTAATGTAGGTGATTAGAGTAATGTACCCTGAAAAGTCAATTTACAAATATTTAAATGTAATTACAAATATTTATTTAAATATGTACAACTACTACATATTCACATATTATATCGATATAATTTATAAGTTATTTTAAATATTTAATTTATTACTGGTACTTTGTTTGTTTTATCACCTCATAATTAATTTAATGATCTTAAAGGTTACATTATTTTAAATATACTAATGGCAATTCCTTCCTTAAAACAAATATTTTTTAGGATATTAAATTTTCTACTATTATGATAAAAGACATTTGTCAAGCTTTGGTTGCATACAATAACCTCCATTAGCACTAATCCATTCGATTAATGGCTTGTCGTCACTTGCAAGTACTGAGTAGTATCACAACATTTGTTATTTGACTATTTGATTGAAGATGAATATCTTCCCTACAACGCTTTTAAGTACTCGCTACTAAATCAAATACCATTCTACTTAAACTATCGTAGTATATAACTAAACTAAAGAAAATAAAAAAAACTTTAAAAACTTAACTATGTTTATGAAACTTGTCTTCTCTTCTAGTTCATTACATTTAACGGAGCGTACAACCTATACTACTCATTATTCTATTAAATTTAATCAACGATTTCAATTGATTATTATGGGGATATATAGCACCGCTAACATAATGTTTATTCTGATCGTATTTTTTATTAAATTTACAAAAATCCTTTATAAAAAACTCATTGCAAAATTTCAATAATTTTTCTCAAATGAATTACCTAATTAAGAGAATACTTTGATAGAGTAAATTATGTGGTTTTACAATATGCATAATACATATTATTTAATAGAATTAAACTATTGCTAAAAGTTTCAAAAGATAAACTAATAAACCTAATGGGTTCATACCCCATTTCATCAAATCATCTAAAATTGTATTTTATTTCATTATAGTTATAGGAACAATAATTACATTATCTCTGAATTCATAACAATTGGTCTAATGAAACTTTTCCCCCTTGAATATTTTGAAAAGCTTCACCGCAGTTAGTCTTAATATAAACTTTTATACCATACAGTAGGATATGCATAATAAGAGACTAGTAGATTGCGATTTTTGTAAAATGAGGTACTAAAATCTACTGGGTATTAATTGAATCTCTAGGTTGATGCCAAACTAATTGATATATAAACAATCTTTTTTAAAATTTCGATTTTATAGTTGTCTATAGTAACTAAAATCTCAAGGTAATCAGAAGATCGTTTGTCGACAAAAAGTATTTAATCGTTCTCGGTAATTTCTATTTCAAGGTTAGTGAGTGAATTTCAAGGTTAACAATGACAAGTTATAAAAAGTTTTTTTTTACTTTTGTCGATGATTCAGTTTTCCTAAGTTGTCATAAAAAGGGTTAATAATGGATCAAGATCAATGAACATAATATTGTAATTTCACGTTATTGTATATATGGTAACATTGTCACTGAAGAGGTTTAATCACAAGGTCTCTAACTGTATGACATTTAAACTTTATCACGTATTTGGATCCTTCAAAAAATTGTAATTGTAAATACACCAAAGACAATCACAAACACAATATGACACATCAAAACGAGAAATTTCATAAAAATTTGATAGTACTTAATAAAATTTCATTAATAAATTGTCACATTTTGATAATTTGTCTTAAAACAAAATTTTTCAAATAAATTTAAGTTTGCTGATCATATTCACAAATCATATTTACTAATCATACTGATCCGGTCAAAAAATACATAAGGGAGAGAAGCTCTAAAGCTATATGCGAAAGCAGACAGGCTGCCCTACTTAGCACTATCTAATCTCAGAGTAATCACTAACCACACAGGGCGGTACGTAGATCTTAGATCAATCATTGAATAATAACAAAGATTATGAGGAATACTCAAATTAGTCAGTGAGATGGGTGGGACTATGCAGAAACCCCCAAGCCATCATAGAGTAAAAGTGCCCAGATGCACTAACTCGGAAAAGGCTCAACAAAAGACTAATCATATTGTTATTTTTAATGAACATGAAAACATTTCGCAAACAGTAGAATAGTTTGATATGCAATAAATCATAGATGACCTATACACCATAAACCCACGAAGAGCCATTAGAAATCCTCAAAATTCAGAAGTCAGAAGAAACAAAGTAACATATAAAAGGAGACAAAAATTATACCGAAGAGGACTTGCGGGAGTTCATTTTATCGCAGCACTGACATGCTACTTCGTCGTAGGAAATGCAACAGACGACTTTACCGTGAAGCTTGCAAGAGATGACAGTTTAAGACGATTCGCGATCGACCACATCGTCTCATCGACGCAGTTTAACAAGGTATTTTAATCGGTATCAGTGATTAGTTCTCAGTATACCAACGTGGCTTTATTAATAACGTTGTTCAGTTCTTAATCACATCAACGTTTTCAAATCGGTAACGTTAAAACATTCTTCTAATTTCAGGAATTTTAGTATTTTTAATTTCTTTGTAATTTAATTTTTAATAATCATTAAGTATAAGTAAATCTGCTGTGAATGCAATTATGCTGTGAATAAAATAAAATAAATAAATAAACTGAAATATTTGATGATAAATTTTATTTACTATTGTTGGAACAGTTTTTACGTTTTTTCTCTTATACTGCTTTCCATTCTTCTAGCAAAATCATTTCAAAAATTCCTAAACCACATATTTAGTTAACATATCCCATATTTAGATTTCATATCCCAATTATAAGTAAGTAGAGCTGCATGAAATAAGAATTACCTATAGTAATAGTGAATTTCAGTAAAGAAGGACAGTGATGCATTAATAAAATAGATTTAAAAATCGGTTTGTACTCTTTTTTCGGTATGAAATTTATTATTATTCAAAGACCTTTTCTTATAAAATGGACTATAACTTCTAATTGTCCATATCTAGCATAACATTTGATTATATATTTAATTAGTCTTACGATTTAAATACATGATTCAAAAATGGATCATTTTCAGGGATGCATTTCAAATAAAGAATGTTCATCAAATAAAGACAACAATCTTGGAGAGAGATAGAAAAAAAGAGAAGAAGAAATAGCGAGAGGAAATTTTTTATTAGAGAGAAGATTCAATAAATAAATTTAATGTATATATAAAAAAGAACAATATGATCCACATTATCATTTATAATAAATTTTGCTAGAATTATTGCGTTTGATATTAAACAGCTGGGAAAGATTCTTTCTAACTCTTATGGTGTAACGCGGTACAACGATACAACGTTGTGGTAGAGTACAACGTTAATTTACATTCCTATAGAAATTGTGATGGGATATTTTTAAGATATTTAAGATATTTTGACATATTAAATGTTTCAAGTCGTATTACCAAAAAGACAGTAATAAAATGATCTAGTCTTTAGATTTGATATATTGTTGGGTTTTGTTTCAACTCTGGAGAGTTCTGAGAGTAGATATTAAATGTGCTTTTGAAATTTGATAATTTTGAAAATTGCAATTATAATATATTTAATATAATATGTATTTTATATTACCCAAGACATAATAGTTATCTTTAAAATAACTATTATATATAAACAAAATCAATGTCTCAGCGAAACCACATATACCTAAATACATAAAAGACTTGTTCACAGTTAAAATTATTTTTAATGTTGAAATTCATTGTACGTCAAACGAAGTCTTTAATAACTGAAGTTGCAGATTATATCCCACTGCAAATCCAAGTCTAATTCAGCATAAATCTTTACATCTACTATAAAGTTGTAGTTAACTGTAGTTTATGAGTAGGAAATGCAGAAATAATTATTATAATCATTTCAAATTAATTAAAACACATTATAGACTTTTTTGTATTTTTTGAGTATATATTCAATAATGTCCACAACAGTAATTATTATTTTTCCCAAGATGGTGTTACGAATCCCATAACAAGTCAAATTCGTAAACTAAAAATTAATGGATCCAAAATTACATGAAATGGAAACGATTTAGTTGTAGTAACTATCCAACTATTATTAATAAAATTTACTTCTGTATACCTACAGTGACTCCATCGCATAATCGGACAAGCATTTATTCGATATAAATGTGCTCTAAACTTTAAAAAAAATGCTAAAAATATGATTTTTTTTGCTTTAATTAATACTTAACATACTTATCTATCTAAATTATAAAAAAAAATTAAACATTTCTCATAGTAACTATTAATTTGAAGTAAAAAAACGGAACCAACACAATTTTTTGGGTTCAACGTATAATCGGACAAAATTAAGCATCCATGTTAAAAATGCAGAAATGTGGCATTTAATATTTTGTTGCATATCCTTTGTTATCCAGAACGGCCTGAAGACGATTTGGAACTGATTTTACCAATTTTTGGCACACTTCTGGCTCAATTGAGTACCATGCTTCGAGTAAAGCCTCCTTTAGCTGTACTATTGTGTTAAATTTTTTTTGGCACACTCTCCTAACTAATTCCTCTCAAAGATGCTCAATTACATTAAAGTCTGGGTTCTGTGTAGGTGTGTCTATGAGTTTGGGGCAGTTATGGATCAACCAAAGCTTTGCTACACCTGACGTACGCTTGGGATCGTTGTCCTGATAAAAAATATATTTTTTACGATACTCAATTTCTCTGCACTTTGCTTTACATTTCATCCATATCCATATCTATATCTATATCTATATCTATATCTATATCTATATCTATATCTATATCTATATCTATATCTATATCTATATTATATATCTATACTATTTATACTTAATTATATCTATATTAATATCTATTTCTATTTCTATTTCTATATCTATATCTATATCTATATCTATATCTATATCTATATCTATATCTATATCTATATCTATATCTATATCTATATCTATACATATATCTATTTTTATCTATATCTATATATCTATATTTATATCCATCTAATAACATTGGGGTCTATTTTTTGCGTTAATTGGATAAATCCTTACAATATGTGCTATTTGTGAATCCCCACAGATGACGTATGTGAACGGAAGAATTTGGTTTATTTTATCTAATTCCAATAAATAAAATAACAGTAAAATATACAAGTTTCTTTTATAAATATAAATATAAAATTACCACATATGGTATATGAAAATATAAATAGATACTGTTAAGTATAAGTAAAAAAATACCTGTTATATATAGAGAGAAGTGTTAAAACTTCCGCAAAGATAATACTAACTATTTTTCTTGATTTTGTTTTTATTTATTATTATTTATTTAAAATTAATTGGCGCTTATGTTTTTCTTATAGGATAAAGCAAAACGATCACAAATCCTCATTAAAAATTCTATCGGATTTTGCCTTAATTATATGTGTGAAAGGTGCAAATTAAATTGACCTCACAGACTACGAGTTTCAGAGACGTTCGTACTGTCACCGAAGCAAAACAAAAACAAACAAAGAATAAAAAAAAAATTAAATAAAATAAAAAAAATATTTATAAACAAAATAAGACAAACTCGAAAAAACAAAACCTAAATAAAAAGCCATCACCTAAAAATTTAATAAAATTATTAAAATGAATGGAGCGGAGTTACTAGGCTTGTTTGCATCTTTTGTTTGCGGTCGCAATTATGCAAATAATTTTTTTTTGTTATATGTTCAGAAAAGGTTTAATTATTTAAGTAAATGTTTATTTATTGTAAAAGATAACAAAAAGTAGTTTATCGAAAAATTAATATACTGTAAAGATACAAGTTAACTGAACCGACTAGTTTTAGGCGCTACAGAATCTGGCTAAATTCTATAAAGTTTTTGTTGTTTTTTGTTGAGAAGTGAATGACTTTATTATAATTAAAGGCAATAAATTTCAGAAAAAAAAATTTAATTAACTTAGTAATTACTTTAAATTATTTTACGAAATATTTTTTTGGAACATATATAAATAATAAGATATATCCGTCAGTATTTACATTTTAAACGCTTTGAAAGCTTTTTTTATTTGTTAAATTTTTGCTAATATATTTAATTTATTTGCATTTTTTGACATTTATTCTTAGATGTTTTGTTCCAGAACTACTATTTTTTTGTGCTCTATCAAATAATTTTAATCGTTCAACTTTCAAATATTTTAAACATTTGAACCTGTTATTTATCTAAGATTGTCTGTAATCCGATACTCACTCACACCGTTTAGTAACGTCACATGGTTTCTTTCAGAAATTTTACTCTTTAAGGTCAATAACTCATCAGGTAAGCATCTAATCTGAACTAGAACTCGTTTGTCTTGCGACTAATAGTCAGAGTCAAGTGACTTGTAAGATCTACATACCAAACACAACACAAGAAAAAAAAAATGAAATAAAAACAGATTAAAACATCATAAAAAGAAGATTTATGTATTTACAGATATGTTTTTGTGTTTGTATGGCAAGTAATCTCATTAACTAATTAAAAGATACAAAAGATAAAATTCGAGTTTTTTCGTATGGAATGACACAGTTCGTTTAAATTATTAATTAATTATTAATTAATTCTTTAAATTTGTATTTATGCTAAGCCAACAAATATTTGTTGCCTATTTACTTGCGTTGCGGATGTGTTGTTCCGTAGGACGTCAGAGCGTGCGGAAGTGCCGAGAATGAAGCACCTGCCTGTAATGGCAGTGGACCCACTTTAATCGGCGTTACGCCAATTGGCAGTGGTAGACGTACATTGAGTGAGTGCTTCTCACTACCCGTGCTGGCTTCGAAATTATCGATATCATCTTTGCTCAGCGCGCGACCGCTTGAAATGCTGCTAACGCTACTGTCGACTGTTGATGCAGCACCAAAGACATAACCTTGACTTGTCAAGGCCATGGTAAAAGCTTCGTGTTCCAATTCAGGTGATTGGAACTCCGCTATAACACTCTGTTGGTATTGCGTTTGTGGTTGTGGCGGTGCTATGGGTTGCTGCGGATAGTGTTTTTGGGGTAACACATGTTGTGCCACTTGTGCGCCTACTGGTGCTGCAATAGGATGAAACTTAGAATATGCAGCACTATGTTGCTGGGTACTAGCACTTGTTGCATATGAGGCACGTTGTGACGTATGATAATTTGGCACTTGTGGTGCTGCAATGAAACTTTGTTGGTTTCTGCTCGGCGAGGGGTAGTGATAGTAAGCCAATTGTGAACTGGGTGTTATACTATAGTTTGGCACAAAACTACTTTGCGATTGTGTGTGTATACCGTGAACTGCAGTTAATGCGAGGAATGCGACACAACATAGTATATAGCACTAAAAATAATTATTTCAATAAATGTTTACTTATTTGGGATTTAATAATATAAAACACTCACGTATCTCCACATTTTTTTAAAGGTATTATTGTATCTTTATTATGCACTGCACAAGACTTTGGTGTAGTAAAATATTTAAGGTTTCGTTACTTTTCGATTTTTATTGGTATTTTGTTTTAATTATAAATTAGTTTAAACTTTTTAAAATGTTTTGTTTTTTAATTATTTTGATCACTTTAACACACTCAGCTCGTCTTCTGCTCTTGGTCGTCGTAGTTATCGTCGTCGTAGTCGTCGTCTTCGGCGACTTGCTGTTGTCAACCTGCTGAGCTTATTCAACTGATTAAATTTTGTTCGTTACCTTAAGATGCTTTTTATATGAAATTATTGTATGCGTTTTGTTTCTTTGAAATTTTATTTTAAATTCATTTTTGGTATTTAATTATTCATGGAGTCCGTCTCAGTTTGTATCAAAAACTTCTTCATTTCGATCGGAGAGCGGTTTTCGAATTGTATTCATTATTTTGCATTTTGCTGAGCTTAATTGTTGTTGTTGTAGCTTTTGTCTTCATTGTATTGAATTTTGTTGCATGAATGCCAAACTTATTTATTTTTGGGGTGTACCTACTTTTTTCTTTGTTATATCTCTTTTTTTGCAAGCTTAACTTTAATGAATGAAAATGTGTTTCAATGAATCATTAATTTTCATATATCAGATGCAGCTATATGTTATTTATAGATACACAACAGGAATCTCAGAGTGACTAGCAGTAAACACCATAAAAATTTTATAGGTAAAGTGATGACTTAAGTCAGACAGCAATCAAACAAAGAACAAAAGGGCAAAAACTATCTAGGAAATAATGACTATAACAATAATAGCAACTAAATATTACAAGAGATATTGTTATAGTAATATTACAAATCCCTATCATAATGACAAAATGTGATACTAAAAATAAACGTTAATAGTATTGAGTTAAATTTTCTTAAAATATTTGACTGGAAAAATAATATCTCAAATTTAAAGAAATATCTATAGATAGCTTATATAATAAATATTAATTTTACTATTCCAAGTCGTTTTATTTTATCCTTGAAATAAAAATCCAAACAGATTAGAGACAAGAAATTCAGCAGATACGCAATGTATACGCAAATTTATTCTGACTCATCTCATCTTAAAGATTGTTTCAGTGAAAAGTACGCACCCTACTAATTTGACACATACTCTTTATGTCACTTTATTCGTGGACCATAGTTATATTTCAGTGATCTTGTCGAATATTATGCCTTAAAAGAAACATTTGCGACACACATTGCTTTTATTAATTAATCAAAAAAAAAAAAAAATGCAGCATGTGATGAACACTCTCCATCCATTAGAAAAGTTGCAAAATCGCGTGATTTATACCGAATTGTAACGGCTGACGAAAAATAGACTAATTTTGAAAACCCGAAGTGGAAAATTTCATGAGTTTCAACTACTTTCAAATCGCCTTACGGAACCCCTGACATAAAACTCCAACCAGATTAAAGTAAAGGTTGGTTTCGACACAAGAACTTAGAAAGTTTTGATAATTTTTAAATAATTCAAGAAGGATTTGCCGTTATAACACATACAGAATAATCAGTATTTGCTAATAACACTTTGTACGATTATAACGAAAGCTTATATTACTGTTATATCAAAACAGAAATAGATTAAAATATTTAATATGATATTATTGCAAAATGTAGTCCACCTTTTCGAAAGAAGTCATTTAGTGACATATGCATAAAGAATAATAGGATAGATCCTTCCTTGAACGATCAGTTATTACACTCCTTCTTCATGGCCATAATCCTGGCTTCTCCACTGCAATCATTAACAAATAATGTTACAGTACATATTTAGAAACTTTTGTAAATATTGGTACCGATTATTCGTAACAATTAGTTTTTTTTATTAGGGTTTCTTTCTTTGTTATATTAATTTAAATAATATATAAACTATTTGAATAAAAACACAGATTTTATTTCTTAATTTCAAACAAAAATCTTATGTTCATATGCATTCCATAAAAGATAAGATTAAAGTACGAGTCTGTGCCTATACGACTTTCATGTACTACAATCAATAGATCATTAAAATAATTTAAATGATAGTTGATATAGTAACCCAAAACAACAGATTTTGAGTTAGTATGCTTGGATACTAAGGTATATTGAAAAAGTATCACATTCAGAAAAATATGATATATATGATTATGAAATAACAAAGCTTTGGTTGTTTAGGTTGAAGTTTTAGTGATTGAGGTGGCACGTCGGTTAATTGTAAATTATATCAAGAACAAAAGTAGTACTTATTAACTGCCAAGTGACGATTAAAGTTCTTCAATCCTTCATTATAAGATCAAAGCTAGCTTAAGAATTTAGAGAATAAATTGTCGAGTTAAACTAGCTATCTGATATCAATCTCAGCTAGGTTCCAGGACATAGGAATATTGAAGGAAATGGAAAAACAGATGGTATGTGCGCTCGTTCTCTGCTATATTTGGATGTTCGAGAACACAAACTAGACTTACCTTGAAGCTATTGCTTAGGTTAATACATCGTTAACATTCATGAACTATTTGAAACGAAATACAGACTGCTGAAAAAGTTATCCATATTGACAGTTAAAATAATTATCAGTTAGAATATATACGTCCATTTCATGGTCACAGACTTTCAGCATGGCGAAAATTTCTGCCTTAAAGAGTTGCAAAAGTGGTATACTTTTGGTTCGCGGAGTAGATTACGGTTTTACATGCCATACTTGTCCCGTTAGTGTAAAGCATTTTCTTCCATTGCGTTGTTATCATGCCTATTTCTCAATCCCCTCTTGGGGGAGTTCTTGTGGCAATGCTATCAATATATCATACAATTCGTTATTCTCACTGCTCGAATATTTTGATGGGTCATACTCATATGATCCTCGTGGACCTATCTTGTTCCTTTGTATATTAAGAGTAGCTGTTGATTATTGTGAAAATCAGTGGGTAGTAAGTAAATATTATTATCATATTTATTTATATATCATATTTAACAATATTATATAATGATATTTTTCAATATTAATAATGCAAAAAAAATTTTTTTTTATTTATTAAAATCAAAACCGCCACTGTTTTTTTATTTTTTATTGAAGATTTATATTTTGAAAAAAATATTGCAATAAAATTTCATTAATAAATGATTATTTTAATTGGTATCAATCAACAATTTAATTATGAAAAATAAGATTAATTAAAGTTATCTTATTAACAGTGCAACGTCCTTCACTCTTCCTCTAACGATTTCTTCAACATTATCGTTCGCTTCTGGAATAAAATCTGACACATCTGAATATAATATTTGACGTATTGAGTGGCAATAAAGCGCTATTATATCTTTGAATATTTTTTTTTGTTTTTTGTTTGCATAAACTGATTAATATGCTCATAAAACGCCCAACAATAGAAACTATAATAAATTTTATTGCTTACAAGAAGAAACAAAAAAAATATTGAATATATTAAGACAAAATCTCTCCAAAAATTATGAAGAGAGAATTAATTATTTTCAGAGCACAACATATGTTCACAAATGTTTGATAAGCTGTTTAGTAAAAAATGGTAAAAAAACAAGACAATGGCAGCAAAAAAGAGTAACAACAACAACAGCAACAATAACAACAATTGATTTAATTTTTTTTCTATTTGAAGAAGCTACCATGGTCACAAACGCACGCTTTTAACGCATTAAAAACTTAATGCTGTGTTGTTTATCACATGATGGTTTTTTTTTCATTTTTATAAACAAAAAAACGACGTCAAAAAATATCAATAAAAAATATTTGCTTACAAATATTAACCCCAACAACAGCAACAACAACATTTAAATTTAATAACTAAACTGCATAAATTTGCATAATGAGCATGAAACTATTTAACCTTTTATTATAGATTTTTATGCGTTAGTATATGAGTTTGCGTTTATGTATGGGTTTGTGTTTGTGTTCATGTACTGAATGCAATAACTGAGCACCTGTGCGCTGACAAGCTCTCAATGCAAAATCATGAATTGACCAAAGCTCTAAGCGCGTAGTTGTTGTTTTTTTATTTTTCTGTTGTTTATTTAAAATGGGCATTGTCAAAATATTTAAGCTCTCCAGTGGTTGTTGCTTTTCGATTTTACTTTGACAAGAGATTTTGTGTTGAGTTAGGTTCATTTTCGGCATGAAGTGCTACCAAAGTGTTAAGTTGTTGTTGTTCTGTTTGATATTGTAATTGTTGTTGTTACTATGGTTGCTTGAATATGTGGTTTTTATTACGCTTTGCTGTTGACAACATTAATCCGAACATAAAGTAGTGCTATTTGCAGTAACAAGCAAATTTTTAGAAACCATGAAGTGTCTTAGAATTCAATATTTATTAAGCACTTTAGCCAAGCGTTAAAAAAAAAAATACAAAACCAAAAATTAGCTCTGTTTACATAAATTAATTACTTTTTGCTTAGTTCCGCTGTTCTTTGCGAGAGGGTGAGATTTGTATACATAAACATTTATCTTAAAATATTATTTAATTTTAAAAAAAATGCCTACGCATATATTAAAAAAATAAAATAAAACAAAAAAGTAGTTAATAGAAACGAGAAAACTGTGGTCACAAGACTTAATAGTTTATTAACATTCGACCTTAATAATTTACATATCAAAATAAATCCGATAGCAAAAATAATTATTATTAAAAAACAAAATAAACTAAAAAAAATTAATAATTGGCAACAACCCAACAAAAGAAGAAAAAAATTATGAACAAGCTTTGACGTGAAAATAATAATTTTCTGTCTGTCAACATTTTAACATAGCTACCAAGCATTTACTGCTGCTGCTGCTGCGAAAGGCGCTGCAAAAGGTGCTGAGTAAGCAGCAGCATGTAGTGATGAAGCGAACGGTGTTGTTGCATATTTAGCTAATGGTGTAGCATAAGCAGTGGGTAGCGCATATGGTGTTGCGTAGCTAGCATAAGCCGCTGGTGCGGCTGCATACGCTGTTGTGTATACAGGTGCTGATGGGGTGGCTGCTACATATTTTGTTAGGTATGACGCACGTACAGGGGCTGCATACGCCGTAATCGGTGTGGCAGTATATGTTGCAGCATATGAATGCGCCAATGGAGTTGCAGCAAATGGTGCAGCATATGCAGCAGTTGCATATTTCGTTATAGGTGCTGCAGCTAGCGCTGTTAAAGGTGAAGCTAACGCAGTACTATATGCTGTTGGTGCTGCCAGTAGTCCTGCCAAAGCTGTGTGGCAACATGCTAAGATGGCTAAAAGAATTAATGTCTGAAAAAAAAAACAAAAGAAACTTTATATATACAGAACACTATAAATTATTTAATATTAATATATGATTTATTTTTAAATTTTAAAAAATATTTGTAATTATTATAATCAAAAATAATAGTTATATATTATTATTATTATTATTGAAATGCACGTTACCAAATTATTGTTTAAAAAAAAAATAAATTGGAAATTGTTATATTAACAAAATTATAAATTATTTTTTATAATTTAAAATTATTGTTAAAAATTTATTAAATTTTTAAAAAATTAATTTTTACATAAATTTTATATTAAGTATACAAATATAACAAAAATATTAATGAAACTCTATTAAATAATTAAAATTAATATCAGTTATTAATTTTAATTATATATTTATAACCAATTCAAATCATTTCTAAAAATAATTTTATTAAATATATAACAATTAATAACTTTTGACTATTTAATAAAAATTAATTAAATGCTTTTTAAACTAACTTTTTTTAAAGTAAAATTTTAATGAAAATTCAAATAAAATATTAAAGAACTAATAAAAATGATTTAAAAAAATCTATAGCATTAAACTTATTATTTATTCCTTAATTAAAACTTTTAAAAAAATTTAAATTTTTCACTTTAAACATAAATTTATATAAAATATATAAAAATATTGAAATTATTAATGATAATGTATATAAAATATTATAAATATTTAACACTAATTATTTATAAACAGTTTAAATACTTCCTCAATGTATATAAAAATATAAATAAATTATATAAAAATAATAAAATAAACAGTTATACAAAATATAAAAATATAAAAACAAAATTTTAATAAAAATATACTAAGTAATTAAATCAATCAATTAATTACTTTATTACTTAAAATAAAAAATTAAGTAATTAATTAAATACTTATAATCAACTGAAACAATTTTTAAAACAAAATTTTATTTAGATTTTTATTTCAATTTTTAAAATCACTATTTATATTAATAAATTTTTTTTTTCTGCTTATAATATTAACAAATTATTTTTCTTTTTATTAGAGGTCGAGATGCTCCGTGACGAGAATAGATATAGAAGGAACATATTTCTTATTAACACAAAAATCTTAAAAACAGGTATGTTTAATTTTCTTCCTTATTGAAACTTAAGCAGCTGCCTGAGAACAACGAATGATAATAGTTTCGATTTCGTTTTAATGTTATTCCGCCATTAAATTTTAGGAATTTTGATTGTATCTTTAAATTATATGTATGTTTTATACATAAAATAACACATAACAGTTTATTACTTCGTTTATCTTGCGTTTATCTTACGTTTATCTTCCGTTTTCTTTATTCACCCAAGTTAAAAATTTTACCTTGCTCTCAACGGCATTTCCCGTAAGCAATTCTTCATCTTGATAATATTAAGATGAAGAAGCACAGATTATTTTCTTATGGCAACACTACAGATACTGCATTTACATGCAGCAGAGTTTCGGAATGCATATAAACTGCTATTGAGCTATTATTAACTATAATTTTTTATTTTTATCTGATATCACTGTGTTATTATTCTTAATTTTTAAAAAGAATCATTTACTTAGTTGTAGGAAATGTTAAAAATTTTAACTTAATCACTTACATATTTGCACATTTTATTTAATATTTATTTAAGAAATTGTTGTTTACTTTAGTAGTGACCAAAACTGATTATCTTGGAGACTGTCTTCGAACCCATATTATATACTCTAAAACTTTAACTTTTCCTTTCTTTTCATAATAAGTAATTTTTTTTTTACTTAACATTAAAATAAAATTAAAACACAATTAAAGCCTCAATTGCGTTTTGAATGTACGGAATCGTGTCAAACGATTACAGAAGCACTCGCACATGTTTTGCATTTGTGCACTTCAATATGAGACACGCACGACAAATGTACAAAATCCAAAATCCAAATCCAAGACACAAGAAACCAACTCGAGATTCACGAATTCCTTTTGTTTTACAATGGATTTTACCTTCTTAAGCTTTATTGTCAATACCCATATTTTTTTTTTCGTCATTGCTTAAAACATCAATATAATTGATTGCCTTCGATGAGTTGTATGAATTGTGTCACAAATACGTTATGAGTTTGACAAAGAAAATCATATTCCTGACTGCGGCTTAACCTTTCCCAAAACCATGGTGAAATATGCTTCAATATACACAAAGGAAAAAAACTGTACTTCGTTGCCAAATGGCTTAAGTTGGCACACACGTAAGACTTGCGAATACTTCGCATGTGCGTTAAGTATTTTAATTTATTAGTTAAGCTTTATTTATTTATTTTTTTTTATTTTTTTTTTTAACAAACCATAAAATAAATGCATTTTTTTATGAGATAGTAATACCCAACATATCACAACTCTTTCAACATTCGTATATGGAAATATGCACTTTTTGGTTTAAGTAGTCGTGTAATCAAGGTTAAGGTTAGGATAATATTATTCTTATTATTATTATTACAGATATGTTAAAAAAATTGAAGTTTATAGCCTTGGAGCCTATTGTGACACCATTAGGTGTTCCATTATGTTAGCGCCTACAATAGAAATGATTTTTTGGTTAAAATTGTCCTGTAGTCAAGTTTAAAGTTAAAACAATAAGATTATTATTATTATTATTACAGGCCCGTAAATAAAATTGAAATTTATAGAGCTTTGGATTGGGACACCATTAGGTGTTCAATTATGGTATGTTAGCACCCACAACAGAAATGACTTTTTGGTAAAAATTCTCTGGTAGTCAAGCTTAAAGTTAGAACAATAAGATTCTTATTATTATTACTAGAGATACATTCAGAAAGACATTGGAACTTACAAAGTTCTAGAGCCCACTGTTATTCCATTAGATGACTTAATACAGCAATCTTTTTAGCACTCAGAATAAAAGAAGACATTTTTTGGTTAAAGTTGTCTGGTAATAAAAGAAAAAGTTATGACAAAATTATTCTTTTTGTTGCTATTCTAGACCCTTACATAGTCCCAGAGTCTACTCTGACCATAAATTACTGCACCATTAAGTGACCTATGTTAATTAGTCTAGTCAACCATTCCAAATTGTGACCGATTTAAATTAGCAATTCTAAATTCGGTATATTCTAAGCGAGTGTACATATTGAAAAGTGATTTGATTTAAATATATAGTATATATATTCAAATATTTAGTTTTAGAAATCTACTTTGTTCTAAAGGTTTTTTTGGACTCACTAAAATCTTGCTAAATTCCGTGCTAAACATGATCAGTTTTTTAATTTTAATAATGTGTAGTACGAAATAGCTCCACAATACTATTAAGGTCTAAAGGGATAGAGACATTCCACTCACTCCAACAATTAAAGAAAAAGCTTTTAACTGAAGAACGATATATCAGTTTTTATGGATAACTTTATGGATAGTTTTTATGGATGACTTACAATGTAAGAGCAATTTTGATATATGAAACCGAAATCTGGTTTTCTACTTCAAAATCAAATCTTGGAAACTCTTTAACACATTTTTCGCTATTTTACATAATCAAGCCAAGGCTTGTCAAGTTGGGGTTTTAACGATTAGGGAGGCATGTCAGCTAACTGCAAGTCATATCAAGAACAAATATATGTTGCGCATTTTTTTTTTTAAGTCAGGTGCCAATGTATGTCTTTCGATCCTATGTCACAAAATCAGAATTAATTAAAGAATGCAGCGCAAGCTAAGCGGACAAACGCGTCAGGGAAAGTATGGAACCGACAAACTGATGCGAGGCAAGCTAAGGAAATTTGACAGGCTAAACCGACTAGCTGGTACCAGCCTCATCTAGATTCCTACACAATTATGATAAACATTGATGGAAATAAAAACCCATGCTGCTTGCGCCGCCTTGGTGTTTCACTGGATATGTCCCTAGGGATACCGGTTAATAATTCCCTAGACAACGTTAAGAGGTGTATTTACGTTTGGTTTCATCACCTTGCTAAAAATAAATTGAAGACTCCTAAGTTATGTCTAATTTCCTAGTTAACCTCATATTTATGTAAAAAAACCAACTTTGGTAACTCTTTAAAAGAGACTGCGTGAGTACTGCAAGACTTAATGCAATATACTTCGGTCACGTCTGTACAGGAACCCACGGAAAGTAAGTACTTTCTCTCTGACTGCCCAGATTTTGTTTCCAGATAAAATTTGTTATTAGGGTAATTAAAAATTCTCTAAAGATAATTGACAAGTTATTGCAAGGTAGTTTACTTTTTTGATAGTTAAAACCTGTTAAATTTCTTAAATGGAACTGAATAAAAATAAATTTATTTTCTTGAATATTACATATTATCCTTTCAAAAGAAAAGAAGATGAAACTTCTGCATAGACCTGGTACAATGGAAATAATTGCTAGTATACCTTCCCTCTTTGTGCCAGCTTTAAGGGAATCGTATTTTGCTATAGATATCTGTGAGTGGTTGTTTAGATATTTGTATTAATGCGTACTTTCTCAAGCAAGCCTATATTTTCTATTTCAAAAATTATAAAAAAATAAGTTCATCAGATGAAATTTACTTTAACAATTATAATTCGTGGGACTGAAGTTCTGATATATAGATTTATACAAACAAGCTGAGAAATATAATGGCAGATGTTTAGGAAAAATAACTATTACCTTTTTACCATTAACAGTTTTGTGGCGAACAGTTTTCGCACACATCAACACAGTACTATGCTAGCGAACGTTTTTGAAAACGTCCATTATTTTGTTTTTTTTGTAATTCGCTTTCTGTTCAGAAATGATTTAATTAATTTTATTTTCATTAAATTCTTTAAATTTGCAAGAAAATTTTTGTCAAATGGAACTCCTCTTGGTACATATCTAGTGAAATAGAACCGAAACGTACAGCACGCGTCACTTTAAAGTAATTTTAAGAACTCCATATACAAATAGAAAGAAAATATCAATGTTTTTGTAATTGTAAAATTAATTTAAAATAAAAATAAAATTATAATTCGAAAGGTAAGCATCTTGACTGCGTATGAGTAACTCTTGAAGTGACATCAAGTACGCTTGTAATTTGCATGGAAGCAACAATCGATTTTTCTTAAATCAAAACACGAGTTTCGTTACTGAATTTATATTTTTACAAAAAATTACAAAGCAATCTGAAAATGGTACTCCAAACTCCAAGGGATTTTCGCTTATTGCGAAGATTTGTGTCACGCTCAGATAGAAATGTCTGACTTAAGCAGTTTATGGCTGAGTGGAAGCGTGTGATATGCACGTTTCGGTAACATAAATCAAACAATACCTAACATAATATAATATTTTAATTGATACATCAACGAAATGCAAAAAACAATATTAAGTTTTTTATAATTTTATATGATTTTGCATAGCTTTAATTTAGAAAGCTACATAGATCATACAAATATAGGCCTCCCTTCCGAATATAAAAGGCGAAACAAATCTACAAATGTCAACAGAAATCAATTTATCAGCCTCATTTGCCAACAACAAATAACAAATCCAAGGCAAAAATGGTAAGTAAAATATTAATTAATATAGAAATAATTAATAATACAATATTTGAATATTAATAAATCCTTCTTCATCTACAGTTCACGTCATTAAGTTTACTTGTTTTAGTTGCTTCAGCTTTTCTTTCCGGCACAAAAGCAACACTCTATACTTCATACAGTCCAAAAACCTATACTGATTCCTTCAATTCCATTGACAAGTCTTTCTCTGTCAATGGTGAAATACCAGTTGCTATTAAGTCTTATAACACTGCTCCAGTGTCAACTGTGACCAACACTGTAGCAAAAGTTGCAACACCTACCAACAATGTACTACAGGCGCATGTTGATGCACCGCATCTACCATGCAAGAAACCACATGTACTTGAAACACCCAAGTTCTTTGTAGCCGCATCTCACCAAAAGCCCACAGAAATCTATGCGGCACCAGCTGTACGGAATATTTTCTGGTCTCCTGTGCCACAATATGGAGATTTAACTGCACTGGCTACACTGAATATTGGTAGCAATGCAGTGCCAAAACATTTGACTTATGATGACGCTTACTTTGATGCGTTGAATACGTTAAATGCATTTAATGCTATTAATATTGGCAACGAACGGTACTCCGCTTATCCATATGCACTACAGTATGCGAATCCGAATCAACAAATTCGTTTTGAACTTCCTGGAGCAGCCGCTGAATATCAGACACTTCACAAACGCGAAACTAAACAGGAATAATTTTTTAGCAAAATATTTTTAAAATGCATTATTAAATTACAAATGTATTTGTTTATCATTCTAATTTGTTATTACATTTTTATAATATTATAATACCGAATAAAATACTTAAAGCAATAAATCGTTTTACATTGTCATTAATTTTTTTTTAAAGAATATTTTATTCTGGTGGTTTAAAAAAAATAAAACTCGGGTTTTGGGTTAGGTTATTTCGGCGATCCTAAGGATACATTAATTGGCCTTTTGTGTTATCATATATAAGAGACTTAGAGATTCTAACCGTTAGCAAAGCTTTAAACGGTGTTTACATGGAGGTCTTGGATTTGATCAAGGGCTTCAAAAAAGGAAATCCCTAAAATAGTAAAACGATACTGAATATACAGCGGACAGTATCAAGGCAGACGTCATTATTCTCTTTACAATAAAAGCGACATGAATGTTTATTTTAGACATTCAATCTACTAGCATGGTTCCATAATCGGTTGCTACCCATCTACAAGCCTATCACAAAACTAATATTTACTGTTTGGTGCAGTTTACACGCTGGCGGCATCATCGGTCCTTATGTATATATAATGTAATTTTTTTAATATAATTGAAGTGTTAATTAGGCAATGATTTAGTGAATAATGACAATAAACGAACTAATTGTGCTATATAGTAATGTTAAAGAAACAAAAAACAAATAAATTAATAAAAATTGTAAATAAAATGTAAAGTGATGAGTAATGAAAATAAAAATACTTCGATACTGACGGATATACATATTTACTTCTTTAAAAACACTTAGTAACACAAAT